CCTCTTAAATGTTTTCTATACATTTTTACTTATCAAAAAAATAAAAAAATAAAAATTCAAAGTTACAAAGCTTATTATATACATTTTAAATGGTCAGACTTATTGAGTTTAATTACAATTATAAATTTACAGGATGGCCCAACTGCCCAGGAAAAAGAATATAAGAAGCATCGAAAGAGAATTCTTGGTTTAGTTCTCCACCTTAACGACAGAAAAAAGGATTAATCAAATTCTATTGAGTCTGACTCATAGTGATCATTTATCAATATTTAAAAAAAAAAAAATTATCAATATAAATTCCTTTTTGTGCAGTATAACCCAAGGGGTTGTGAGTCTTTTTTTTTTTTTTCTTCTACCAACCGGGGCCCTCCACCACCTCCATGGGGGTCTACAACTCTACCCAAAATTTTCTAGTTCACCCTAACATATGATACATATCTAATTTGTCCGACCTTCCCAAGCCAAGCTAAGTCACCCTAACATATCCCACTTGTTCGACTTTCCCAAGCCAAGCTAAGGTCGGCTAATCGAACATGCTGGATATATATATCTCTCCACTTATATTCACTTTAATTCACAAGATTTTTCTGCCTGCCTTTATTTATATTTGTTGATAGTCATCCGTGACATGGCCCACTTGTTATGGATCCGTTATCAATGAGCACACATGGCTACTGGTGGCCTAGCCACGTCAAGACCTCACATGGCATGACCACGTGACATCACTGAATTGTGGAACTCATACTGCGAGAACTTGTAACAAATCGGGGGGGGGGGGGTTGCTATCTTTCCTCGCTTCACTGCTCGATTAGTCATGGAGGCGCCCTGCTCCAGTAGGATGGGTTCTCCTATGCACCCTGAATCAAGCCTCCTCCTCACGGATAACCATGGCTAAATCACATCTTTTGTAACTAGCGAATCCTCGAACAATATCTCGGAAGAAGAAAGCTCGGCGTCTTGCAGAGGAAGGGAAGCCTAGGACTAAGGACGGCAAGTCGTAAGCAATTTCCTATCCTCATCTCTGGATAACGGGAATCTGAGGAACAGTGGAATGGGGGTTGAGATCCGAGGAATTGTCTCACCATGAATGGAAGCCGTCTCCCGACAAATAGTCGAGGGACTACTTCTCTATGAGATCTATACTGAGGGGGCAAGAATGCTTAGTAACCAAAGTCGAGTTTCATCCAAAGGTTTGAGGGGGCGAGAATGCTTAGTAACCGAAGTCGAGTTTCATCCAAAGGTTCGAGGGCGCATTAAATGCATTGACCCATTGATAAGACCCGCATTAAATGCATACTACCGTCGCCACCTTAAGCAGAGGTCTGAGGGTTCTCTCGGGCCACCTACTGACGTCCCATCCATTAGGAGGGTCGTCAGAGGAACCACCGGTCAAAAGGGAGTGAACTCTCACGACCTAGGGTCTTTATCCGACTGAAAAGATAGTATAAATAAGAGCCGTAATTGATCATTAAAGGGACGAAACTACTCACTAGGACTCGAGCTACATGGGTACTAAGCAGCTGCCTTCTCTTTCTTAATCTATCCCCTAAGAGAGAATTCCTCGGGTAGCTCGGATCTCCACTCAGACTCTGGTCTCAGCATTTTTGACAAACGTGGAACGATATCCTCACTCTTCCGACAACCTCACATCAACAATATTCTTTGATCTATTTTAAATACTTTATACATATATTTTGGTGGCAAGTTCGACACAAGACTTGTAAATCTGTTCTATATTTGCACTTGCACAGGTCATACGATGCACTCGTTTAATTGCTTTTATCATTATTATTGATTTTTTTTTTTTTTTATCAATAATTATAAGTTATTTTTTATTAATCAGTCAAATATTTAAAACTTTAAAATAATTTGATGTTGATTATCAAGGTGGTAGTTAAGTGGTATCTCCTTACATTTTGAAATTATAGGTTAAGAATTATGTCTCAAATACAATGAGAGTTCGAGTAACCATGGTGTTCAAGCTTGGCTTGGTTGCTCGATTAGATAAACAAAAGAAATTCAAACTGATTGCATGATACAAACTCAAAACAAAATCTATCGGTGTGTGCGCGCTGTGTATACAACTTATATATATATATATATATATATACACACACACACACACACACACACATGTACACACACATATATAATATAAGTGAGTTATATTCGTACCTGATACAAACGCCACTCTTCACTAGGACTGCAACTCGGGCGGGTTGGACACTTAACTCAGGCTCAGCCCAATATACAAATCTTCAGCCTAAGCCTAGCCCAAGCCCAGGTATAATTTCGCCTAGTGAGCCCAAGCCCAGCCCATACTTAATTTTTAAAACACGGGCTAAACTTGGGTTCTTTATTCAAGTTATATTTTCGAGTTTTCTTGGACTTTTAAATCGGGCTCTCTCAATTTTATTAGTGCTTGGAGTTGGAGTAGTTGTATGAGTTTCAAGTTTCAACCTCATCATGTTCAAGTAGTGCATCATCTTCTCCAACAACATCAAGATGACAACTCCAGAAGCTGATGATGATGATAAAGTCGCAGTACCACAAGGCCTTGAATCTGTGATGACGCTTCCAACAAAATACAAAACATACAAAGTTAACAAAACATTCAAAACATACAGAACGTATAGGCCTTGAATACAAAACATACAAGTCCAACATTAATAATAAATAAGTACAAAGTTAACAAAATAACAAGCCACATTCCAACAAAATATAAAATTCATAACCAATATTAGCATTTCGGGCGGGTTCGGGTTGGGCTTTGGGCTTCATAACATATCTACCCGAGCCCCAGCCCGAATTGAATTCGGGCTCAATAAACTCAACCCAGCCCCAGGCCCAGAACAAAAAATCATTGTCCAAGCCCATAAAAATGTGAACTGGGCTCGGGTAAATTCGGGTTGGGCCCGTCTGAGTTGCAGCCCTACTCTTCACCCAAATTTCGATCATCACGGTCTAATATTCACTGCGAAATTTTGGAAGGGATAGACAGAGAGAGCGATGTAGTGCGCCGCCTTGGCCATTGCCATCTTTGATGAGCGGCAATCCATTGCCATTGTTATGGCTAAGATTGGGGATTTGATTTGGGCTGAAAAGGAGAAAAAGGATGGGCCAAAACTTTTAATTTTTAAATGAAATGGGCCAAACCTTGTAATTTAAGATTATATATATATATATTCCAAAAGGCTGGATGACATAGGGGATGATGGGCCAAAACTTTTAGGCTATGTTTGGTGTGAGTGAATGGAATCAAATGAAGGTGGAATGGAATGCATTTGTTTCCATTCTCTTGTTTGGCGTGTCACATTAAAAGTGGAATGGCCATTCCTAGGGAATGCCCATTCCATCAAAAAGGTGGAATGCCCATTCCACTTCTTGAGAGGTGGAATGACCATTCAATTCCCATTAAGAATTAATAAAGTAATAAAATAATTTAAAGAGATAATTCACGCATACACACACTATATAAAATATAATATATATAATATGTATCTATATGCTGTTTGTTCCCCCTCTCTCTATCTCGTTTATTTTTCTCTCTCTATTATCTCTTTCCCTTTTATTTTTGCAAATTAATTTTTTTAGTTAATTTTTTTTACTAATAATAAAATGTAATTTAAAGAAATAATATAAATTCATTTTATTCTAACTTTCTTACCAAATATAGGAATGAGAATGAGATTCCATTTTTACACATTCCATATTTACAACCAAACGGTGGAATGAGATTCTCATTCCATTCCATTCTCATTCCTTTCCTACCTCCATTCTCATTCCATTCCAATTCATTCCACCACACCAAACATGCCCTTAAGCTAACATGAAATGGGCGTAAAAAAAATATAATATAGTGTGTATTTTTATTGTTTATATATATACCCACACTATATAAAATTATAAAAAAAGTAAAAGATAATTTACTGTTACCATAGGTTAAATTACATCGACATGCCTTTTAGTTTGGATAATTCCCGTTACTTCCCTTAATTGTGGTCAGCGTTCATATATATAAATGTTTTCAATAAATCAGGAAGTTTTGCACATTGAACGGGTGGTCAATTTTTCTTCTCTTATGCCTAGTTTATTTTCATTCCAAAATAATATAAAATATTTGAAATAATAAGAATGTATGAAGTGTTGTTAAGAATTAGAGAATTCTACAATATTTAATCGTTTATAAATTTTAGAAGAGTTAAATAGTTTGTAAATATTTAAACTTTGTTAGGGAGTTGTATAAATAAATCTTAACAAGAGTTTGTTATCCGAGAGTGAGGTTAAAAGATTTTAGTAATGAGTGGGTATAAGCAAGGCGGATTCAGGATTTTTCAATGGGGTGGGCTAAATCAAAATATAACAACCAAAATCAACTATTGTTTAATTCAATTTTAGTTAATTAACAATGTTTCTTTAGACAATTGACTGATTAAGGCAAAGAAAATCCTATTTGGGTAATTAATAAAAAAAATTATCAATTTATTTCTGACCAATTGACCACTCAGTACCCTATCTCTTCTTTTGACCAATTTACTAATCCTATTTGAGAATCTACTAGGGGAAGTAGAGTGTGAGGTAGTTCATGGCAAGCCCCTTCCAACACTATGAAATTCACTCAAAAGCATGCTTTTTGTAAGTATTTTAATTTTCAAGAAGTAACTTTAGAGCTTTACCCTATATTAAGTACTTTTGCTTGTCAAAGTTCTTGTTATGATTTTTTTTTTAGTTCTGAAAAAGATTTACATCTTCAAAAAGCTTGGCATGTTGATAAAAATTGTTTCAGATTCAATCTATGCAGATTTCTAATCCAATTCAATCCAATTTGGGTTTTTTTTTTTTTTTTTTCATGCCCAGATTCAAATTTTCATGTAGATACAATTAACAACACAAAAAAAAAAAAAAAAAAAAATTAAAAATAGAAGTTATAATATATATATATATATATATATATATATATATATATTTGTTTTGCTGAAATAAAATGTAGATTATGGTGATTACCTCAAAATGCAATGTAAATTTCGTTACTTTATATTATAAAAAAAATAAAAAAAAATTATATAAAAAAAATCATAAAAAATTTCACCAAATAGGATTTAGGTTACAAAAATAAATTAAAGACCTGGATTAGTTAGCAGTTGCGGAGAGAGAGGGGGGCAAGCTTGAGAATTGAGAGACAGTGGGCCAGCGACTGAAACTTGCAAATGGCAAAGCCGAACTGGAACAGCGGGTGATGGAAACTGAAGGATATGGGTTTTGATTTTTTGAACAATCTGAAATGATATGCCGATATGGGTTTTGATATAAGTAATAGGTTTTGAACTTTTGATTCTTGCAGACAGATAGATTAACTGAAATATATGGGTTTTGAACTTCTGATTCTAGTAGATTTTGCAGTTCAGAGTTGAGAACGAGAATAGACATGGACACACATGGGGAGGTTGAAATGATTTGCCTTAATTTTTATTTTTATTTTATTTTTTTCTGGTCCATCATCCATGGGCTTATAAATTTTGAGGTCCTAGGCGACCACCTTGGGTCAGGATCGGGCCAGGCTGGTCCTGGACTTATTTAGCTTGGGCTTTTATTTTAGTATGGTGGCTAAGTTGACTTGGACTTGCTTTGATGGGTAAATTTTGAGGTGAGTTAATATTATTAATAATTTTTTTTTTTTAAACTGAACTAAAATTAATATAGTAATTTTTATTGTTTGGTGGGCCAGAGTTTAAACTGAACTAAAAAAATTACAGGTGTCGCATCTCTATCTGATGTCTAGTGTATTACTTTACGAAGAAGCCAAAGAAAATTCACAATTTACGTTTCTCGGTGAAATCTGCTTTTCTAAATAAATACGGTTTGAAGATTTTAAAATTATTATTATTATTATTATTATTATTATTATTATTATTTCTTAGTAAGATCTTATTTAAGCCTGAGTAGTCTAATTCAAGGTCAAGCAAACCTGATTTCATTTTGCGAAAATCTGTTTAGATTCTCTTCGGAACACAAGAAATTTTCTGGTTAGTATTTATACAAATTTTATTAATTTTATTTTTATATTTTTTGAAAAAGTAACAATTTCTCTATGGTGTAGGTTTTTGGGAATGATTATATGTGAAGAGTACGTGTTATGAAGTAGGGTAATCATATCCCATGCTATGAAGATTGGAAAAAAGAAATGTGTTTGAAAAAGCTTTTGTGAGATGATCGGACTAACAGGTGCCACCGTGTCCCATATTTCCTCAAGTGTTTGGCCTGGTCAAACGCACAGACCAAATCAGGAGGTACAATTATGAGTGTTACATGTCTTTATTAAAATTCATTCCTCGATAAATATAATCTATTGATTAATTTATTGAATCTTTATGATGCAGGCATGGAGCAGTAATTGTTAACATTGGCTGATTTATTTTAAATTGCTTTGTTAGATGATATCACTTTCTGGGCATAGTTGCATTTGATATTCAGTAGGTATCCTTGAATCACAACTCACTCAGGGTTTCATTTATTTTTCGATTGTTTGTTAATTCTGGATATGTGAAATACTTTAATTTGCTGAATGGATTACTGGTCCCACTATTTTGATTAATTGCTTTTTCAATATCTTTAATATATACTGTATTATATATATAATATATATAGAGAGAGAGAGAGAGACCATGGTGCAATTATAAATAATTTTTCAGACTCTGGGCTTCAAAGGTTGCACTATTTTTTTCCTCCAGTTTTCTGCAGAGAAAAACAGATGGTAATTTATGCGCCAACTTTATTTATATGCTTACACCACCATCTCAAACTTTATTATTTAATATATATATTGGTGTGTTGTGTTGTATTTCCCCGGGCTCCATGTACATCTTTTCTTATTTTATATAGAAACTTACCCCTTTAAATGTAAAATATTTTTTGTGTTGTGTTGTATTTCCCCGGGCTCCATGTACATCTTTTCTTATTTTATATAGAAACTTACCCCTTTAAATGTAAAATATTTTTTTTAAAAAATATTTTTCTTTTTCAAAGTAAATATTTTTTTTATTTTTACATTATCGGTATTTGACAAAGGTCTACATCGAGATTGAGGCCGATTCCATCAGGTGGGGTATGTAAAATAACTTGTCGAAAATTTATGAATAAATTATTTTTGTTAAATTTTAATATTTTTTTTCTTCGAAAATATTTTATTATCAATTACCAAAAAATAAAAAAATATTTTACGTTCAAACAAATGTACCCTAAACTTAGAAAATGATTTCTGCCATTCCATCTAACATTGTGAAATTGACACAAAATATTAACAAAAATTATCTTGTATATATTAAAAACAAAATCATACCGTACATTTAAAAATATAAACTAGGACTTAGAATGCACTTTTATTTGAGTAGCACTGCTGATCATATATATATATATCATCCAAATAAAAGGAATGTGAGGTTACAAATGACTAAAATTCCCCCCACAAATATGTGAACCCGCTGCTTTGCTTGTTTCGGTTTTACCAACTTATACTTCTATGGATGACCGTTAATTTATACGGCACCGGGCATACGTGGTCCCATACGACTGCCTCAATGGGTCAATTTGTTTGATTTGAGACTTTTGAACCTTTTGGTACTCGTCCTGATGGCATAGCAGATTGACCGTGGTGTGGATGATTTTTATTTGATGCCATTTTACTTCCTCCGTCATCTGCAAAACTCAAATATGAATATGAAATATGAATGTGTGAGAGAGACGAGAGAAGAGAGAGAAAGCTAGAGAGGGAGAGTACTTGCGCTTTTGGCCGTGGTGTGGAAGAGGGTTTTTAGTTGATGCCGTATTACTTCCTCCGCGATCTGCAAAACTCAAATCAACAAAATGAATGAATATGAATGTGGGAGAGAGACCTAGAGAAGAGAGAGAAAGAGAGCTTATGCTTCTGTCGATTACTGTTTGTACGGCACCGGTTGTAGTCAGTACAGCGTCCCAAACTACTGCGTCATGCTGGAAAGGATAGGTAACCTGCAAAACTCAACACAACAAAATGAATGAATATGAATGTGTGAGAGAGACCGAGAGAAGAGAGAGAAAGCTAGGGAGGGAGAGTACTTACGGTTGCTGGGAGTGGTGGCTAATTTCCGCGCAGAGAGTACATGAGGTGAAACCATGATAATCCAAATCACGAACAAGCAGCATATGATGGAAGAAGTGGTCGAGGAAGCTTTGTTTATTATTTTAATTTGCGGCTCCAACCAAGAACTGATTACGGAAAGATGTACTATATATAGGGTGGTAAAATAATAAAATGGGTCAGGAATTATCAACTCACTCATATATGTTTTAATAAATTTGAATTAACTATATTTAACATTGGTCAGCAGTAAGTTGGATAATTTTTAACCGTGATATATATAAATATTGTAGGTCTTACTTTTGCAAGTGGGTGATCAATGTAGAAGACTTGGACTTATAAAGTGACAAGTCACTGACTTTATCATACTACAAGAGTTTCCAAAATTGAATGGAAAAATAAAGAATAAAACAAATGGAGAGCGTAGAAAAAGGTGGAATATGGTAGGGTTCATAGTTAGTTGTAAGCATAGATATTCGACCACCGGGACTGGTTAATGCATATTTAGCCAAAAATGAAAGACTTATAACCAGATCTACACGGTATAATGTTAAAGATCAATGCCCAACTCCGGACGCCTAAAATTAATGTTATTGGGAACAAATTAACAATCACAAAGCCGTTTAAAAAATAATAAAAAAATAAAAAAAGCAATGATCTAACAAATCCATTATATCAAAGTTAAATGGGAAACACTTATAAAAGTATGTCCGCCGTACTAACAATAATGTATCAAATTGGATTGGATCTGCGGATTACATTTTATCTAAATTATTCATTATTATTTTTATAATTAATATTATTTATTATTTATTTATCTTTTAACCATAACCCAATAGATAATATTTTAATTTATTAATGTTAAATTCATATATTTAAATAATTATTAACTAATACATCATAGAGTCCATTAAATTATCATTAAATAATTAAATTAATAACTAATATATTTTGAAAATATATATATAAATTTCACGGATCGGATAGGATAGGACTCACAAATCGGATTTTTAATATCCCAATCCGTGAGCTACGGATTAGATTTTTTTGAATCCATCATTGATCCGTGAGTGTAGCAATTCGATCTGATCCGCACGGATTTGATCGAATTCACGGATTATTTGTCCACTCCTAATTGTGACTGATCGACTCTACCTGCAACTAAAATCATTGCAATACTTGTTGAGACTTCTTGTATTTTTTGTCTTCTGGACATCAACCCCAGTTGAATGATACCACTTATTGAGCATAACGGAAGCGAAAGATTTAAATCAGAAGAAGAAAAGTAATTCCAATTTACATGGTGTAGGTGTTGAATATATCTCACTTCAGATGGCTCACATTTCTTGCTCAAACGGTTAACAGACTATGCCACATCATCAACAATGGACCACAAAGCTTGGTCAAATGGTCAACAAGCGACGCTACATCAGAAACGATGGCCCACAAGTCAAACGGTCGAACGGTCTAAATTACGTGACACTTACCACGTCGGTATACCTCGAACAGAAGATTGAAGACTTGAAGACCTGAGTTGGGAGCATGACTCAGGACTACTTGGGATCTGAGGAGGTTCTTGGTTTGGTGGATGAAGTTCAGGGCTCGTTGAGTTGACACTCGACTTGACTCGTTGAGAGAGAGACACCATTTTGACTCCCATACATTTTAGACCCATTTTAATTAATATTATTTTATAATGTTAATGGGCTCCACATATGACATCACCCAACCTCTCACTTGGCCTGTATAAGGATGTGCTCCAAGACCAAGTAGAGGTAGAGCAAAAGAAAGGGAGGAGGAGATAATCTCTCATACTTTCTCCATACATCTTCACCAAGGGAGTCAATGATATACTATTACATTGTCATCTTTAACTTCTCTCTCTCGAGTTTGCCTGTACTTCCATCTCTCTTAGTCTACCTCAGATTCTATTGTGTCGTTTGGATCACTCAGATTTGTGCATAATATCACCATTTATATGCATTTTATCGTGTTACGAAAATGAACCCCTACACATGGTTCACCCAAACTCATCACTACATAATCTCCACCCATTGTCCTCTCTTCTTGCAAGATTGCCCTGTCTTTCTACTCATACCTCTCAATAATAATGTACGTATACATTTGAAGAGCCCAACCCTCAACTGCTTATTCAACAAGGATTACATTTCCCTGTTATTATCAAAAAAAATTATACGCTGAAATATGGCTCTACATGCAACACACATAATAATTATAATAGAATTTATGACATTATCCTAATAACATTTCGGAATAAAACTTTTAGGTTAGCTGAATAGAAAAATATATGTGAATAAACTCAGACTTTTTTTCTGTCTTTACCCTTTAATCATGTGTAAGAGAGATTGATAAAAAAATAAAAAATAAAAAAATAAAAAATAAAAAATAAAAACCATAGCCATTGGCAAGAGCAATCTGACAACCAGAACAGGAAAAGAGAAGATCGAAGAAGAGGACAAGAAAGGTTTTGGCATTCAAACCGTCAATAGGTTATTTAATTTATTTTGTGATTATCTAATTTATTTATTATTTGATGTTCTAATCAATAAACTGACTAAAGAAAAAACAAAAATTATTTGAAATTATAACTACTATTAAAATTATAACTACAAACGAACAGAAATGCTACAAATATATATCACAATGAGGTTATTATTAAACCTATTAAAATAAAATATTATAAGTCGACCCTTTAATTTTGCATCTATTATTTTGGTTCAAATATATTTATTTATTTATATTACATTATTATTATTATTATTATTACTACAAGATTGCCCCACTAAAAAAAATTATCAACTCTGCCACCGGATCATTTCATATATATCATCCAAATAAAAGCTCTGTAGTTACAAATGACTAAAATTCCCGCCCACAAATATGTGAACCAGTTGCTTTGCTTGTTTCGGTTTCACCAACTTGTATTTCTATGGATTAGCGTTTCTACTACGGCACCGGTTATATGTGGTACAGGTGTTTCTGACTCTTGCTCCAGTACTTCCTACATTTTTATAGCCACTTTTGGTAGGTGCTTTTGGTACTGGTCCTGATGGCATAGCAGATCCGGCGTGGCGTGGGTGGTTTTTAGTTGATTGCATATGACTTCCTCCGTGTTCTGCAAAACTCAATACAACAAAATGAATGAATATGGATGTGTGAGAGAGACCGAGAGAAGAGAGAGAAAGCTAGAGAGGGAGAGCACTTACGGTTGCTGGCTAATTTCCGCGCAGAGAGTACATGAGGTGAAACCATGATAATCCAAATCACGAACAAGCAGCATATGATGGAAGAAGTGGTCGAGGAAGCTTTGTTTATCATTTTAATTTGCGGCTCCTACCAAGAACTGAATACAGAATGTTGTAGGATATCCTATATGCGTTTATAATTATATATATAAGTTAATTAGCGGTGATATATATAAATATTGTATGTCTTATTTTTGCAAGTGGGTGGGTGATCAATGTAGAAGACTTGGACTTATAAAGTGACAAGTCACTGACTTTAGCATTTCCAAAATTGAAATGGAAAAATAAAGAATAAAACAAATGGAAAGTTTAGAAAAAGGTGGAATATGGTAGGGTTCATAGGTTGTAAGCATCGATCACCAGGACTGACCGATGCATATTTAGTCAAAAATGAAAGACCAATACCTAAATTTACACTCTGCATATTTAGCCAAAATGAAAGACCAATATCCAGATCCACACGGCATGATGTTAAAGATCAATGCCTAACTATGCACGCCTAAAATTAACAATCATAAACCAGTAAAAAAAAGAAAAAACAATGATCTAACAAACCCATTATATATACTTAAGTAAATAACAATCATAAACCAGTAAAAAAAAGAAAAAACAATGATCTAACAAACCCATTATATATACTTAAGTAAAACGAGTCAATTGCATAAAATATTTTAAAAGTATGTTTACAGTGCATATCACACTCCTCACGTACAAAAAATAACTTTAAAGTTTAATTTGGTACAAATAGGTCCCTCTGACAAATTGAAACCTCAAGTAGACTAAATTACATTTACGAACCATTTTATAAAATATATAAAAATAAATAAATTTATAAAATGACCAAAAATGATATTATTGGAGGACGCCGGCAATGGATAAGTAAAGATAAAAATAGAAATTAGAAGTACAAAAAAAAAAGTAAAAAGTAAAAATAGAAATAAAAAACAAAAATAAAGTACACAAAAATTAACTTGTGAAAATGAATTCTATCATTCCATCTAACATTGTGAAATTCCAATTTTGTTACGACAAAAAGTATGAAGAAAATTATCTAGTCTATATAAAAAAAACAAAATCATACCATACATTTAAAAATATAAACTAGACTTGGAACGCATATGACTTATACCTTTTTATTTGAGCATTACACAAAAATTAACAATATAACATTGCAAAAATATCACAATGCTGCAATATAACTTGCTAAAAATATATTAGCATGGCATACAACTAACTACTCTTGCATCGCACAACTATTTCACATTTCACTGATTTTTTATAAAGAAAATAATTATATAATTCTCTCTCAAAAATTTTTTTTGGACAATTATGTTATTTCCTTTCCTTTAAAACACAACTGGAGTACGAGACTAATTTTTTAGTGCGTCCATAAAATTAATAATATAGGTATTTTTAATTAATAATATAGGTATTTTAGAGGAATGTGATAAATATAATAATACTCTAATGTTATTTCCATAGTATAATATATTTGTTATTTAACAATATGAAACATTAAAGGTAAGGGGAATGGCCTAGTATGAAGTATTAAGTTTCAAAATGGATTTTTCTTTGCAAATAATTCTTTAGAGTGGGAAATTGTGTGAGTACCAAAGTTTAAGTATAATAATCCTTTAATTTTTTTTTAATTGAAAATAGAAAACTTTAAAAAAAAAAAAAAAAAAGAAGGAAAGAAGAAGAAGAAGCTATTATAAACAAGAAACCCCAAAGGCAATTAATATTCGCAATAATAAAAGTCCATAACCAAAAAAAAAAAAAAATAAATAAAAATTGAGGGCATTTAGGCTCCGTTTGTTTCGATGTAAAATATCTTCCTTGGAGAATATTTTTTATCAAGAACTTTTTTAGGTAAAATGATTTCTCTATTTTGATTTTATGGTGTTTGGCAAAGGTTCTGAAAATATTTTTAAGGAAAATATTTTTTGGTGTTTGGCTTCTAAAAATATTTTTAAATGAAAATCAAAGGTCTTATTTTAGTCATTGATAATCCAATCTCTCTCTTACCTATTCATTGGTCTAACTATTTCTATTCGAATAATGATATTTGACAAGGAAATGTCAAAAAATAAATAAATAAATAAAACTAAAAATAAAAAATGATCAATCGGTTTTTGAAAAATGATAAGGAAACCGAACCAAGCCTCTTCATCATTGTATATATGCAACAAGTGGTCCTGGTCTCTCCATTAAATTTATTTATTTATTTATTATTATTTTTTTTTCTCATTGTGCATCACCTCTTAAAATTTTGAAAAGTAGTACTACAGGCTATCCAATGATGATGACAAAAATATATGTTAACAAAAACAAATTGAAGAAACAAAAAATAGCTAATACAAAAAATATGATGATAAAAACAAATCAAAGAAACAAAAAAAAGGTAGAAAAACAATAGTATATTAATGTCCAATAACACAATTTGA